GGAACTCTATCGTCATTTGATTTTGGTTATCCTTAGCCATCTCGAAAGAGACAAACACACACACACACACACACACACACAGTGTTATTGCCAAAGCCGACCGACCGAACCGACACTTAATGAAAATACTTTAAAAGAGATCGTTATTTGTGCAAAATGCCGTTTATCTAAAATAGTTTTCACCAGAAAATAATCATTACTTTGAACGTTATATTCGCATATATGACGCTAGTTTGTGCAAGATACGAATCTTTATTGCTGTTTGGGAAACGATGGTTCGTTCGGTCGTGTGTGTGTGCGTGTGTTTGTGCGTAATTTGCGTGATGAGGCACAGATTTTTCTCTCTCTCTCTCGCTTTCTCGCTCTGTGTGAAAGAGATTTTATTGCATCAACATTTGTTTTCCAGCCATTCAACGTTAGAATTCGGTCTTTGAACGAGACAGGACAGCATAATCGTAAAGCACAGCACAGTACGGCACAGGCCATTTTTAGTGCACCCCAGAAATACAATAGGATATCAGTATCACAGTTGTGACCATTGCAACATTTTTTCTTCTTACCTCATATTGCATATGCATGAGGACATATTGCATGAACCAAAATTTCAAAAATGAATCGAGAAAATGCAAATAAATCCAGAAATAGACGAAGCAAAAACAATGGCACTAAAGCAATAAACTCATTTGAAATTGATCTGGATTTTTCGTGTAAAATTCAGTCGAACTTTCGAAGGCCTAACAGCACCTAAATAATAAAATTATCGGCAGAAAAAAAACTAACAAACAATAAAAAATGGAATCGTTTTTTGTTGTCTTTCTTCTCTTCCCTGCAGAACTGTCGTAAAAAACCAAATATGAGAGCTCAAATATGAGGAGTGTAAAAATGTTATCACGGCTAAAAATGGACACTTACACAAGCGAACCGAATAGAATATCTGTTGCAAAAAAAAGCAATGCACATACTCCATGTACGTGTATGGGTGTGTTTGTGTACGTATTTGTGTGTGCAGAAAATAGCAAACCATAAAACTGGAAAGAAAAAAAGATTTTGCAAGCTCAAAAATCGTAAAACACGAGATCTCCGTCCAGAGATACTTATCGACAATAAAATATTATATTTTTATAACTACCAGTTCAGGACTTGCATCTATAATAGTTTTCATTCTTTATCTTCTCATTTGTGCGTTCAATGCACACATTCACACCGACTCGAGCGCGCACACACACACACACACACACACGAGAGATCAATGAGAGAAGAGGCCAGGCCCAGTCACATGTATCTCTATTATAGATGAGAACGTGAGCAAAACAATAACATCAGCAACTACGAAGAAAAACGACAAAACAATTAAAACGAAGAAGAAGAAGAAGAAGCGGAAAAAATTGCCAATGATACCGATAACGGTAAACGCATATTCTTCGATGCACGCGCTCACTCGCTCACGAATGAACCAGCGTCAAGGCACGCAAGGTTCAACCAAATGTGCTGAACTATCTTGGCTCCTAAGTTCGGAAAGTAATCGCAAAGTGCAGACGATCGCAACTAACTCTCTCGTTGTCGTTGTCGTCGTCGCCGGTAACGATCACAATCGTGGATTCATTTATAAATTTTCTTTGGCATGACACAGTCATAAAATGAGAGTGGAAGTTTTCAAGTGATGGAAATTGCAAACCAAACCAAGGAAGAAAAAAAAACGGCACAACCAAATAGGTATTAATAGTTATGAAGGCACGTATGAGGGATTAAGAGAGCATCAAAACGACCACTTGTCAAGAGTGAAAAAAATAACATTAATAGCTTTTGTATAAATGTTTTCTTTAACATTAGTCACATTTACTTTTTTTTCGCAAATATTATGTATATTTGGCTTGTGTGTGTCTCTCTCTCTCTCACACTTAGCGTAAAACAATTGAATACGAAAGGCTGAATGATTATCATAAAAACGATATTCACTGACGAAAAAAAACAACTGTTTACGTTGTGTGGCTGGATTTGCACACCGGCCCGCTTGATACTTTTTGCTAAGATGTGCAGAAACTTAAAGCATTGCTTATTGTTCAAATTTGCACGTTTATCTTTTAAATCGTTCGGTAGTTTGATGCGCTTTTTTTTCACTTGAAATTTTAGCCCAACTTTTATATGCGTTTTCTGGTAAACTTGTGGAATAAAGATGTCGAATTTCAGTGTTTTTGGTTTAATCTCATGCTATAAACTTGAACACATGAAAACCGACAATAGATCTTCTGACAAGACGGCATAAATTCATTTAAATTATGGCTTGTTTCGTTGGCAGATCGGTTTGAATGATCGTGTTTTTCTTTAAATTTGTTGAAAAATTATCGCTTCTTCTCTTTAAATTGTCTGAAATGCTGCATTTTTCTTTGGATGTGCTTAAAATTATTGCATTTTGTGGAATTATTTAATGTCAAATGGGGGCCCATATTTTGGTCGCACCTTCGCAAAGTGCAAAATGTCACCACCACCACCACCATTGCCATTGCGTTTAGCTAAATCAAATCGATCTCCCGCTCGAAAAGGCTGTGCTTTGAGAGAGAGAGAGAGAGAGTTGTTGCCATTTTTTCCAATAAATACAATAATTACTAGGGAATTACATTACATTACACACCTTATTAGTAGCATGTTCAGGCGTATAATAACACAAGCGCGCTGGCATACACACATATATTGGAGGATTGCGAGCGAGTCATGCCGATTATCATTGCGTATAAAATGTGAGATATTGTTGTCTATTATGCCCATCGCGCATGTTAACACCGATCTCAGGCCGTGTGTGTGTGTGATTGTTTTTTCTTCTTCTTTTCAACTCATTCAATACAACCACACACAGGCAAATGTGACGAGCAACGGCGTTAAGTGAAGAGATGAGAGAGAAATAAAAATAAAAGAGCTGGGCATTTGCTTTCCTTTTATCGCATGGGCAAATATAAAACTAAGCAAATATATATATATATATATACGATATGTGTGTATGAGGCCGATACACGTGTGGAAGTGCTTCGGTTTTTGGCTCCACCTTGAATGGTAATCGATACACAATGAATGAATATCAGTAACAGTGCTTTGTGTCAAATTCATAGCCGTACTACATTCCACATTCGAAAATAGGATTGTAGAGATCGGTAGTCCGGCACCGTTGTGCCGAAGATAGCGCAACGCGAACACACACAATTGGTTTGCCGCGAGAAAGCCGTGTGTGCATGAGGCAAAACGGGATGGATAGATAGAGCACAAGCACACTTTTACTCCTCTATTGCGAAATGTGTGCTGTGATCTCATTGCTAAATGAAAAATTCACATATGAAGATCTAAGCACACACCGAATTGATGCGAAACGAATTATTTGAGAGCGAGCGAGAGAATACGCGCACACATCACAGCTCGATTCCCTCTCCAAAACCAACTCATCTCAAATCATTTCACGTAATATTATCGTCTCTTTTTCACATTTATATCGCTTCTCCTTTGCTCCCTTCTTTTCTCAGCCGTTGTTTTCGTTTTTCTGTTCTCTTTTGCGTTGTCAGTTGTGCTCTGCCTTCATTCCTGTTGGCTCGACACATTGTCAGCGATTGCACTAATTTGATTGTGTACCGTTCGAAGGTAAACGAAGACGTTCGAGCATGGCGAGCTGTTTGCTGGTATGCGCTTGTGTTGATGTGTGTGTGTGCATTGAGATTCTCTCCTTCGCTCACATGGGCTAGCTTTGATAGAAAGATGCGTTGAAGCGCGTTAGCAAGCGTTATTTTTGTTTACTATGATACGACACACCGATGGGAGAATGATCACACCATGACCGATCGACCACACTCCGGGAAACACATGGGGCAGTGATAGTTGTCATGCGATCGCAACGAATGTGCAACTTAGTTGAAATATCAGCCGATTCGCATCATTAATCATTTGCAATGGCGCAAATGCATCACACCACAACAACAGCACCAGTCGATTCGCGGTCTGACTCAGATTTCGGTCGATCTAATTCGATTCGACTATCGAACCTTGTAATGAAATCATTATTGCACACAGCTTCTCATAACATTGTTCCATTGACTTTGATATGGTTTGGTTTTTTTTTTCGTTTTCGGTCAGTTTAGCACCTTCTAATTGGCACAACAATAAGATTACAATCAAACCGATAATCTTGATTCGCAGTCGAATCGATAGCCGACGAACGGAATCGATAACGAACAAACAAACCAACGAAACAGACGAACGCATCAATGTGTGAATAAATCAGGCAAAGTAAATAAAAATTGCTATTATTAATCGCATAGCCGTTCGCTTATTCGTGTATTTGAAGGTTTTGTTGCGCGCGCTGCAGTGCACACGGTTGCAGTTGAGCTAACTGTGTTGAACGCACCGTGCACTGACGGTCTTCGCTCTTGACTCATGCTAAATAACACACAGACACCGATGTGTGGCTATTGTAATGCCTTCTGTTTCGTATGTGCAACCGAATCTATTCATCGTGCTCATTTGCGCACAATGATCATGATGTGCGAGTGTGAGAGAGTGTTTAGCAATTTCCTCTCTAAGCAAGAAACAACAACAACAACAACAACAAAATAACTATACATGACTCACTCTCAGATCGTTCACTCGCTCGCTCGCTCCATCCATACACACATACAAAAAGCGGAGACACACCAAATCTTTACCATTCGATGGTGTAATTCTTTTCGTCTCTTTTCTACTCGTTGAAATCTTTTGAATCTCCAGTGAATCGGTTGCTGTTGTGCTGTTTGCCTGTGTGTTGTTGTTCTTTTTTTGTCTTGTTTGTTTTCGTTGTGTGTTGCTTTTTTCCCTTCTTCTTCTTCTTCTTTTTCGTTTTCTTCTCTTCTTTCTTTATCGCATTTTGTGTGCTTTGGTATCGTATCCATACAACACATTGTGTGTAGCTGGTCTAGTGTATTTGTGCAGTTTGTGCTCAAGTTATGATTTTTAACCTCCCGAGAGTCAATTGAAACGTTACGTTCGTCAGTTGTTTGTGGTGCGCGCTTTTGTAAGGTCTTTCTTTTTTTCGTTTTTTTTTTCGTTCGTTTTCGAGATTGACCGTATATGATTTGTTCAGTCGGTCCCGTCACACCAGAGGAAAAAATTTTACGTACACAAATTTTTGTGCATCGATTTGTTCGGTGTGCGTGTGATTTTTTTTTTGTGGTTTAAGCGCACCAAGTTTTGTTTTTTGCAGTGTAGACTACTGTATAGTAAATGAACTGAAATTGATTGAATATTTTTGGCCGAAAGAAGAAATTGATTCGATTTTGCAAAAAGGCGCAAAAAAAAAACGTTGTGACTCAGCGATAATCAAAGACTCGACAGCAAATCGATTGCCTCACATGTTGCCTCGTGGAAAATGAAAATCAACTTAACAAACAGTATTTGAGAGAAGGAACAAAAAGTTGCGGCTTATCAGATAAAAGTGTTTTGATAGTTAATTTGGAAACCGATCATTTGGTCCGTGAAAATTGTTTTGTTTTCCAAAAAGAGAAGCATTGCATCGCTATCAGTTGGTTCTGTTTTTAGTGCGTGCAAGTACCATCCAGTACAAACTATAGCCGTTGAATGAAACAACAAATCATTTAATTAGTGGAAAAGAACAAAAGAAAAACTGAGTTAAAAAGATTCAAAGATCTTTCATCATTCAAAGATCAAAGAAGAAAGAGATCTTTGCCAATATAAGATACAGAGAAAGAGCAGCAATAAAAGCTCAAGAGAAAAAAAAGTCGAAATCAAAACAACATATTCATTTTGCATTTTGCCAAAGAGATTTGCAAATCTAGTGCATAAGTGATACAGATTTTATACGGACACCGAGAAAGTGTTAACAAATGAGTCATAAAGCGTAGCAGCGGCATTTCCTGGAAAACAAACATTATCACTTATATCACACCGGTTACGTACATCGAAACCAATTTTTGATCAATAATCATCGGAACGATTTTATTTGTTGTGATAGAAAAGACTATTTCTTTAATTGATCGATTTAATCGAATTTACATATTGATATGAACAACATGAGAATAAGCATATGAACAAAGACTTACAATTTGTTCTAATAGACTGCCGTTATTCGATGCAATAGAAGGATATTCGAAAAAGTTTTATCCAAAAATTGTCATCAAAACAAAACGAATAGAGAAGAAAAAAAGCAACGAAAAAAACTGTTAATTGTTTAACACATCCAGGGAAGGAGTCGCGCGGCTAGTCCTGTTGTGGCTGTTTATCTCTCCGGTCAAAATCTACAACTTAATTTGTTTTTAATGTGCATATAGAAAACAGTGTGTTAAGGTGAGTAACATGTAAATATTATATAATAATTCTGTTTTTTTCTGCTTGTATTCGCTGTCTAAACAAATGCAAAATGAAGGCCAAAAAAAAGAGAGAACTTGATTATCTGAACAGAAATGTCAGCAACCAAACGACATTGTTCTCTCAAATGTTCCACTTGATTTATGTGGCTGTTTGCATATTCTATAGTTGTATGAAATATTTTTGGTAGCACTCCTCCCAAAGGAAGAATCTTGTTTTAGATATTATTCTCTGTAGTTGATTCTTCTTCCTGATGAAGAATCTTCGGATGTGAATGAAGGAAAATCTTGTGAAAACGCCATTGAAGTTGTAGTCATGTGTAAACATGAGCCGATCACAGAGCACAGCAGTCAATCTCTATGAAAGGCATCAAATTATTTTGAAAGTCACTGTGACATGACTGTTTCCCATCATGCAAAATTCATCCGTTCTACACACTCATTACTCGCTTGGGTGAGACACATTTTTCAAGCATTTACGTTACACGAGAGAGAGAGAGAGAGAGAGAGAGAGAGAAACACGGCTTCAAATGACGACACGACGGGAAAAAAAGTGTGTACCGTGCCAGAGAATTTTAATTGAAGCGAAAAATGAGCGGGCGGGTTTATTAGCAAGGCTCACAATCCAATTAAATCGAACGAAGAATTGATCGATGAATCGAATTGCATCACCCGAAAAATTTCAAAATGAACAAGCGATCGCAACCAACCGAACGAAACGAATGGAAGAAGACGAAAAAAACAAAATATTCCTAAAATCTGCAACGTTTTTTTTTTCTCGCACGATCATGCATTTTTTGTGCGAATGGATGTTCAATGCCGGTGCATTGTCGATTAAATTGTTAAGCTGGCAAAAGTGAATTTTATCGATGTTGGCGCACCAGCTTTACCAAAGCGAGCAAGTGATTCAAACTGAAAGTCATATCATATTCGCATAAACGATTACACAATTTACTTTATGCGCATCATCCCAAAACCGAAAGAAAAAAAAACACCAACCAAGGGTCCAATATGCTATGTCAGTCTCTTTCGCGAGAAAAAAAAAGTGCACCAAGCTCCATTTAATGTGATAAGTTCATTTATTTTTGGTGTGGTACTGATGATATTGCACCATATACACCGCCGTTTTGATTACACTTCATTCAAATTATTCGATTGCTTGTGATCCTTAAAGCCACCTTTTTCTTCTGCTGCACTTTCGTGTCTGGTGAAATGAAAGATATACACAATCAAATTGAACGGAATAAAAAAAAATATATAAAACACATCTTAATTTCAGCTGAAATATACGGCCGGAACACTAAGAGATAAGTGAATGATGAAAACCAAACGAGAAAAAAAAATTTCAAGAAGAGAATGAATGCGAATTGTTTTGGTTTCTTTTGAAAATTGGATAAAATGTATAATTGTATGTTTTCTCGATTAATAAATAGTGAAATTATCGCTGATCCATTGAAGCCCATAATCATAAAACTGATTACAGTATATGCGCACAATCGTTTCAAAATTGAAAGCGATCGATTAAATCGATAAACAATTTTTTTGCGCGGTTTTTTTCTTCTCTCGTTGCTTTAATTTTTCTGTATTTGAACGGAAATCGCACGCTCACAATTCGACCTTATATATATATATATAGATATTTCGGCTGGACTTTCAGGTCCAAGAGAAAATGATTGCCAATTCTTATTGTACATTCGCTGTTGTTTTCCTTCCTCTCTCTCTCTATCTGCTCCATGATCATTCTCGATTCATGTTATCTTTCTGCTGTCGAATATTGAAATTGAGAGCCATCAAAATCCATCAGAAATTCTTCTGCGATCCGATCGTGGGGGCAAGAAAATTGAAAATCGGCATATTGTTTTGCCTCGTATTCGCTCTCTTTTCTTTTTCCCCGTTTTTCTTGCGTCTCTTTTGAACGAGTTTGAAAGTGCAAAACAGGTGCAAGCAGTTGACGATTTGGATAGCGATCGAATTGCCCGGTAAAATGGATCATTACTAGACTAAATTTATTGGTTAACTGACAAAATGCATGAGGCGATGACCGATCATCGACAAAATGTAAAATGATTGAACAATTTTTCATTGAAATTGAGTGGCGCGAAGGCGTTTGACGAAAGCCGCATAGCTTCAAAAGAGATAGACAGTGTGTGTGCGAGAAAATGATCGTTTCCATCGTCGTTCAAATATCTTTGGAGAGATACTAAAGTGTTATGGGGTCTAATAAAATTACCGCAGGAGAAATAGGCATCAACGCAATGCCATTAATTGTCGATTAGAAATCTCATTCAATACTAAATTTCCACACAAATAACAGTTATTTCTCTTTTTTTTCTTGCTCTTTTGATGAGCAATCTTTCGATATTCGATTCAATTCAATAAAAAAATTTCTGCTCCATGATCCATACACACATGCAACAGCAGCCGAAGTCGTAGCCACAGCATCAACGTGTGCAAAAAAAAACTCACCCAAAAATCAAAACCAAAAGAAAATCGAACAATGAGAATCGGGCTTGAAGCGTGCACACACAAAACTGTATTTGATTGTTATGCGCTCTCGGTCTCACATGCACAGTACACGAATTTCACGACTCTAGACGAATGGATACACAGAATAAAGATCGGGCACTGGGAAAATGGCTCAGAAAAAAAAAGAGTCAGCCGCACTCTTCATATATGAATCGTAGTGTGGTGGTGTTTTTTTTTTTACTTCTTCCATATATTTCTTTCATCGTTGTGTGTTGTGCTGTGTGTTTTTTTTTTCATTCGGCATCACTTTAAAGAAGAAAAAGAATGAAAAAAAGAAAATTATTGAAATTAAAGAGAAACTAAAATTGTATGATCGGCTTTGGCAATTGTATTGCTGCTTTATTGTATATCACCTGAGGGAAATTCATTTTTCTTAATTTTCTGATTTGTTGTTGTTATTAAACTGTTGCTTCTCTCAATTTCCCTGCTCCTATAATTTAGTGTCTTGTTCTTCAATCTGTTTCATTTTTCTTCTCTCTCTCTCTCTCTCTCTTTCTCTCTCTCTCTTTCTCTCTCGTTTTTTTCCGTTGCTTTCCACGTTGATTTCTCCGGTGCAACAGTCGGTATTTGTTTATTAGGGCGCAGTCTATCTTTCTCATTCATTCTTACTCGGTGTCTAAGTTCGACAGAGTGACTTTCATTCACATCGAGATGCACACAGAGACCCACCAATTCCAATAGCCGCAGCCATTACAGCTATTGATGCTGTGTGATTTCGTCATTTCTCGCGCTATGGATGGATACACTTCTTCGATGTGCATGTGCAATATCTCATTATTGACACATCAAACGCTGGTTAGCGTTGATCTCTTTGGGAGAAAATGAGGTTGATTCATATGCACACGGAGATTTATCGCAATGCAATGAAGACATCCGCCGCAGTTGCAGCCGATGTTGGTGCTGCTGCTGATGCTGCGGCCACAAAATTGTGATGAAATGCTCGACACGATATGCAGTGAATGCAAATCATACTGAAAATGGGTAGCATCCGAATGTCTTTCATCGTAAATGAACCATAAATGCTCTCTTGCTTATGATATGGCCGAATTGAATCACACAAGCTCTCAACACAAAGGCCAAACAGTGCGATGGCCCATGTAAACAAAACTAATTACAGTACAGTGTGACATACTGGAACGTGGAACATTTAGCCGGATTTTTTTTTTATTTTGGCAAGAAACCATGTCTTTTACACAAAATATCCGTTGAATGTGGATAATCAGTAGATCCAACACCGAATCGGGTGGATTTGATATGAAAAAACTGAATCTGAATAAAAACCAAATCAGCACTCAAGAGACATATCACAAGGAGAGAGCGAAAAAAAGCACACAGACACAAAACATAGCTAAGAGCTACGCGAAAATCGCATCCCATGAATCGAAATCAAGAAATGTTGCAAATGAACTGAATGCACGAATGCGAATCGACAGAAAAAAATGAAGAGAAAAAAATCGGCAAATAATTCGAATGCTCGAAAATTTCGCATCTTCAAACCGAAATTGCTCGCTTATTTATATTTTTCGTTGGTTTTGGCTCGAGAGGTTGAGTTTGCGATGCGCTCAACACACACACATACAATCTACATGCAACAATAATTACGCTCTCTGTGTATTCGAATTTCTCGTTATTTCTGTGACAAACGCCGGCGGCTGATATCACAACAAATCCATTAAATCTGACAATATTGATAATAAATAAATAAATAAAATATCAATGTGCTTTTTTTCGGTTTTGTCCACACAAACACACACACACACCAAAGAATGAACAAAATATTGCACACAAAAAGAAGAGATCCCATTTCGACTCTAGACATACTGCAATGGTGTGCTTTTTTCTCTCTTCAAAATGAAAAAAGAAGAAGAATAAGCGGGCCGAATCAACATAAAAATTGCAGTTTGTTCGATAAGACCATCATTCCATGTTATTCAATTTCGATCGGTTCTCTTTTATAAAAATTCAAATTGTTCGTCAAATTACGGATCAAGTGGAAACCCAAATGAATACAAAGAAATGAATAGAGAGAGAGAGAGAGAGAGAGAGAGAGAGAGAGAGAGAGAAGGCGCACACACAGAGACCCACTACAAATTGTTTATTATTCGATTAATATGCGATAAAAGTGGATGTATTTACGAATTGCCGACGAGAAGACACCACGAGAGACAGAGGAAGAACTGAAAAAAGCGAGCAATCGTCTTCATTGTCGTCGGCACCGTGCGTTCAATCCACGCAGGAGAGAGAGTGAGAAACGTTGAATATACGCGTTTTTCATTTTCGGGCATTTTATGTTGTGTTATTGATTTTTAATTATATCGCATTAAATTTCGTACGTATCGTGATTTGAAACAATAAATTTTATATTTTTCAATTAAGTTTATGTATTTTTGCTCCGTTTCGTTTCTCCCTCTCTTCGAGTGTGTCTTTGGATGTATTGTGTTTCTCTTGATTTTT